GTCTTCTATATAATTTGAAGATGAAATTACACAATGTGTAGACATAAATTGCTTTAAAACCACACCAGTGTTTAATCCCATGCAGTAAGGTTGCCTTCAATACACTTTTCATAAAATACATCACAATATATCAGGTACCATACAAATGTCTAAAATATCAGCATATGCATGTCTGGAGATAAATATAAAATGTAAATAAAGAAAATTGAGGTTTTATTTATTTAGGACATTTCGCTTTCGAAACACAGATACATAATTACGACAAGATCATTTTACAACCGATGCTCTCGTGTAACAAAAACCGACACACTGACCACGAGATCTTGGCCAGTGGTCACAGGGTGACACAAGCATAAAATGATATCACTCAAGTTAAACTTACTTTCTGATATTCCTGACTAGTTCGAAAGCATGGTTACAATATGCATATTTGTAATTTGTTTTTTCTTTAGAAAAAAAGCGAACTGATGCAATAATTCTGTTCAGATAGATGACTTCTGTTTTATTTCTTGGAAGATCAATATGACATCTTCAGTTGTCGGGGTAAAAAGTTATGTAAATAGTAACTAATCAATGCTGATGTATTTGTTCCTTAAATGACTTGCACTTGAACATAGACACATACTTATACACCGGTTTGAAAAACCTCCAAATGGCATTAATACACATTCAGAACGACTATCTCTCCATAGGGTGACAAACGTCGACAGGCTGAACTTGACCTATACCCGTTCCTCTTGATTGTGCAATAGTGGTTGACAGTGATCGCTAGCAGTATTATACGTTGTGCAACAATGTTTTATAGTATGACCAGAAATTATTGAGAATTTTAGGAATATGTTTAATTGGATTTCTAGTATAAACAACCTTGACCAGCTATCAAGTGCTTGGTTTCATTCAAGAGAGACAACTCCGTTAATCCTTTTTCATTAGTTTTTGTGAAGAGTTATCCCCCTTTGTTTACTTGCTAGCAGACGACATTTTCAGTGATCCTCAGTATGGATGATTTAGAGAAGAGGAAGTTGATTTTAGAGTATTATAACAAGGACACATCAGATCACCTAAAGTGATTTCAAGTAGAACAGGCATCCCTTTGTCAACTGTTTATCGTGTTTTGAAAAATATTGCAAATGGATATGGCATTTTAGCACCAGGGAGGCGCAGGTAGGCCCAAAAAATTGACTGTCGGTGACAGGAGGCGGCTAAGTATTCTTGTTTCTAAAACAAACGAAGGAGTTTAGAAACTTAAGGCTGGATATGATTGATAGAGGAACTGTGGCTGTCTGTAAGGAGATAATTAGAACTGAGCTGCATGCAATGGGTTGGCAGAAAAGTCGAGGAATTCCATCACCGATCATGAAACCTAAACAAAAGGAGCGAAGGTTGAACTGGTGCTTACAGCATAGAAATTTTAACTGGGACAATGTGATTTTCTCAGATGAAAGTTCTGTGTGACTGTTTCCTAATACACTGGAATTCTGGACCAAACAAACTGAAAAACCTTTGTATCAGCGCCCAAAGTACAGTCCGAAATTTTCCAGCAGGACAACGACCCAAAACATCGTTCAAGGCATTCACAGGCCTGGTTTCGGACCCAAAATATGACATTATTAGATTGGCCAAGCTATAGCCCTGACCTAAATCCAATAGAAAATGTTTGGGGACTTATGAATGAAAGTGTCAATAAGAAAAATCTGACAAATATTGCTGAAATGAGAGAAGAGTTGGTCCGATATTGGGACAGCATGGACCACGACTTTCTAACTTCTTTGATCAGTAGTATGCCCCGCCGCATTGAAGCCTGCATTGCTGCCCATGGTGACTTGACAAAATACTAACTGTTCACCTGTCTTTGAATCTGGAGTTATGTTCTGCTAATATTCACATTTAATACGTGAGTAATGAGTGAAAAATATATAAAAAATTACAATCTTAAATTCTCAATAATTTCTGGTTGTACTGTAGCTGTTAACATTGTAGGTGTTGAGTCAGCGAGGGGTAGCGGTGTGCTATATTTAGACTTGTACTATATTTAGACAGAGTTCTGGAATGAACTAGAACCTACCCTGGTACAGAGAATATTATGAAAACCTCTGCCTTAGGGTTACAATTTTCTAGCATATTATTCTTCAGTATATATAGGGAGCTATTGCCTCTAATCTTACATAACATCTCAAGTCACCAGAAGACCAGTGTGTGATGATCATATCCTGCCAAGCCCTAGTTCCAAGTTGGATTGCAGCTGCTGAGAGGTGAATGTTACTATCAGTTTCATTGCTATAATGACTGCTCGTGTATTCCATTGCCTCTGAACCATAGTGATACCTTTGTACTGAGTTAATATTAGAGTACAGTTGGTAATTACAAAACATTTCTTTGTTGTTTCTTGGTTTCATTCCCAGTTCTTTTACGGACTGATTCCCAGTTAACCTTTTAGTTTCAACCCGGGAATCAACAAATAACAGTTAGTAAGTGGTGATGTTAGTGTGTCCACTCTCTGTCAGTGACAGGATTCTTTTTGTAGAGCATGACCCCAGCGATATTATCACATGGTAATATTAACCATTACTATGATATATTGGTTGGAATAAGCCTGCTGTCACAACCTAATTGCCAACGGAACTATCCTGAAGACTGAATATCGGGTTTCTTGTTCTGTAATGGAAATAGATGACATATTTTATTCATATACATTCACAGTTAGAATCACCCTTCGGCGTCATGGTAGAATATGATTTAGCCTTCAGAAATATATATTCTGATGAACTTCATGAGCGCATAGTGTTGTATCTATGTTTGGGTTTGAGGTCTGGGATTGCCATGATCATATTAGCGTATTCTTGTGACAAGAAGCAAAACGAACAATCAGCATCACGCAGTGTTTGTTATGGCGTCTCTGGTACGCATTCAAAACAAATAGTAAAATACCGTTGAGTAAATGTGGGATTCACTAACGCGATGATAACCCCTAAATACGTTATGATAAAACACAAACGCACGTTATTGTTCTTTCAGTATATGCACATGTACATATGTCGTACCCCGAAAGATATCCCCAACTCAGCCATTACACGTAAACATTATCACGGCATTAATTGCTTAATGAAAATGACTGGTATAATTGATATATAAAGAAATACCAGATTTAAGCCAAAATGTTAACTCAAAACTCTACAACATGAAGACATGTCTGTTGCTATTTTGCTCTGTAAAAACAGAGATATGTACGAGAGTACAGCAAATGTACCACCATATACATATCTCAAATATCAATCAAAACCCATAAACGTTTGAAGGTATTTATTTCCCTTTCATCATTTAACTAAAGTATTTATTATTTACATAAGCTTGTGACTTAAAAAGAAGCATGTCATACGCCAATGACGTAAGTATGCAAATTAGATAACCGGAAGTTGGCGAAATCGTACGAGAGATATAATCAAATGATAGAATCGTTGTTGTACCGATTTTTATTAAAGTTTCAATTATTCTGCATAACTCTTGTTTACGTATTTTTTTAATAATCCGAGGAACATTTTCCATAAAGAGTAATATGTCAAAATGGAGGTTCGGTATGTTTTGGTTTACACAACAATGGAAAACATGAATTACAACGATGCGTCAGATTTCGACAAGATTCTGATGGAAGTGTGGTGCATTGGTTTCTTAGAAGGACAACATATACCGATTAAATAAGACTCGGTTTATATTGCTAATATCAGTGAACACTCGTGATGAATCCTCTATACATGAATAATATTTGAGACAAGTGGATACGAAGATGCCAAGAGATTCATGCAACTCTGGCTCAAAAGACAAAGTTACAACAGTCACAACAATCACGGAAAATAAAAAACTTACGTGCTTGTAACAAACTTCATGTAGTATTTTTTTAATATCACGTTTGATAACAACACAGGTGTAATGAGGAACTATGACTTCAGAAGAACTATGACTTCACAAGAACTATGACTTCAGCAGAACTATGACTTCAGAAGAACTATGACTTCAGAAGGATTATGACTTCAGAAGAAATATGACTTCAGAAGAACTATGACTTCACAAGAAATATTACTTCAGAAGGACTATGTCTTCAGAATGACTATAACTTCACAAGAACTATGACTTCACAAGAAATATGACTTCAGAATGACTATGACTTCATAAAAACTATGACTACAGAATGACTATGACTTCACAAGAACTATGACTTCACGAGAAATATGACTTCACAAGAACTATGACTTCAGAATGACTATGACTTCATAAGAACTATGACTTCAGAATGACTATGACTTCAGAAGAGCTATGACTTCACAAGAACTATGACTTCACAAGAACTATGACTTCACAAGAACTATGACTTCATAAAAACTATGACTTCAGAAGATTTATGACTTCACAGGAACTATGACTTCACAAGAACTATGACTTCATAAGAACTATGACTTCAGAAGGATTATGACTTCAGAAGATTTATGACATCAGAAGATTTATGACTTCACAAGAACTATGACTTCACAAGAACTATGACTTCATAAGAACTATGACTTCAGAAGGACTATGACTTCAGAAGAGCTATGACTTCACAAGAACTATGACTTCACAAGAACTATGACTTCACAAGAACTATGACTTCACAAGAACTATGACTTCAGAAGGATTATGACTTCAGAAGATTTATGACTTCACAAGAACTATGACTTCACAAGAACTATCACTTCAGAATGACAATTACTTCAGAAAGAACTATGTCTTCAGAATGACTATGACTTCACAAGAAATATGAATTCAGAATAACTGAAGTAATTTCCAAGGTCATGTTTATTAACATGTGTATGTCTAAAATGGTGTGACTAAATTCAAAAGTGTCTCTACCCAACCCCTTGCCTCTTTCCAGTCTGTCTCAGTTGTGTAATGTATCACACGTTCAGCATATCTCATACTTTGACGTTATAGCTTCGTAGCCAAGGCAACGTTAAACACGTAATAATACTTACATATATTCAAACCAACTGCAAATGCCACAGATACTGTTAAAACCGTTACCCAGAGACACATGGTTCCGGAATGTTGGTTCCTGGAAAACAAGTAGATTTGTATATTTCATGTACAATATGGTGAAAGTCAGAATGACATTCATTATGATTATGGGTGAATGATTATGGAAAGGGTAGTATTGCTTTCGTCTACTGCCTGTCACTAGTACCTACAACGGTGTCCATTGAAACCACTGCAGCGTGTTCCCTGAAATCTTTCAGATTAACAGATGACACCTTATTACATATGTGGATTAACGTATTATGGCGACAGAAACTGTGTAACGTGTGCAGTTTGTTGTTTAGCATCGCACTCGGCAATGTTCCAGTTATATGACGGCAGTGGGTATATAATCGAGACAATCCAGTGATTGACATCATGAGCATCGATCTACACATATGGAATGCGATGAATCCGGTTAGCAGCTTGAACAGCATATCATTCCCATTTATCCTGATGGTATTAAGACGGAACCTGTTTTCTTTAATTGCTGTCAGTGAGTGATCTGGGTTCAACGCCAATTACAGATATATCACGGCTTGTCAAATTAAATCTTTTGATTATATTTGTTTGTTTGTTGTTTAACACCGCACTAATATTCTAGCTACATGGCGGCTATCTGTAAATAATCTAGCCAGGACTAGACAAACCAGTGACCAACAGCATGAGCATCGATTTCAGGAATACGATGACACCCAAGTCAGCGAGCCTGGCCACCCGATCCCGATAATCGCCTCTTACAAGCATGAGTTACTGAAAACCAATTCTAACCCCTTTTTCCATACAAAACTTGAGATTGTTATACGAGTAGTTCGTAAAGGTAACAAAAGGAATGTGTTAGGAACAAATTCAGTTTGACGCGATGCCATATATTTACGTGTTTTTTCTTAAGAGGACAATTGACTTGCTTTGCGCGAATTTATGACGTCATTTATAGCTTTGACATATGACAATGAAATACTTCAAGCGCGTCACGTAAGTGAATGTGCTAATGACGCCCAGGTATACAGATATTTAATATTTCAGTTTATATTGTAAAAAATACAGGTGTAATGGTGTCAGTACAGATCCGATCATTAGATCGGTCACGTGCAATGTTATGTATGGATGTTAACTTATAATGGAGTCTAAAAGGTTTCAGAAAACCTGAAAGCATTGTAAATATTACCAAATTCAACATTCCATTGTCATTTTACATATATATGTCTTGGCAGTTCCCTCTGTCAAACGTTCTGTGTGTTCAGCGTAATCAATAAAGCTGGGCTGATGTACAGAGAGCGTGCGTGTGTCTCTTTCTTAATGGTGATCTATGGTTAAATGTTTCTCTAGAATCTGTGTTGGATGCGTAAACATACTTCCGAACCAAAATAGTTCGATTAATTGCACTTTCTTTACAAAAGTGACAACATTCGCGGGGTCATAAATTATGTAGATATTAATTCCAACAGTAGTAGCTTACGCTGGTGGTACTGGTAGGGCAAGGCATGTTTACTCTTTTCGTGAACACCTGGTGTCTTTACAAATGTTCCGTGACCTATTAATATATTCTCTTTAAAAAAAAGAAGGGGAACCTAACTTTCAAACTGGATAGGAAGTATAAGCGTTAACAAACTTTTTAAAGTCAAACGTCTTATGAATGCACAACCATCTCTCTTTATCACCACCTCTTGACACAACGCATGTGATGCACGTGCATGGGGTGTCATTCCTGGTTTTGAAGGTTTTCAAGAAGGTAGATAATTCACTATATACCATTAATTTAGAGAACGACCTACTGTACAAACAACTATGGTCATAAAGAAGGGCAAGTGGTGATGTACTCTCAAAACATTCATTATGATCATATCAACATTGATTGACACTGATATCTCCCATTTTGTTTCAATCGTAAATTAAACATTAAATTCCCCAACTTATTTAAGAGTATAACATTCACTGCCATTGCCCTTTTACGTCCAGGAGATAATGTTTGGGTGGCTAATCGACACGGGTTATTCTGGTTTCACAGTTTCTGGGCACCGACTCGTATTCGTTGTTTTCATCAAAATGGTTTCGTCAAACGGAGCGTTATGACACCACGCCAATAGAGTGTAAGATATTTCGGTTAATGAATTGTAGGATTATCATTTTACACAGGCCACGGTCTGATCAGATAATGTATGCCATTTTTAGATTATATTTGTAAATTAATACACACGGAAATCACATCAATATTTCAAAGAATTTATGTAAATGGTTTTAAACGATATTTCATTCAAGGATAACGTATGACACTGATGAATAGCTGACTCAGTAAAGAGACTATTTAAGCACGGGTCATGTGATCGATATCGACTAGAATACGCGACTACCACAATCATACACGTTTCCCTCATGAGTGTGTGTTAGGAGATATGATCAGTCTCGTACAGAAACCATTACCACAAAACGGCTGTTCACACAGACAGTGTCACGACACTGTTCCCAAACGGAGTTCATCACCGTTGTATTCAAATCTTTCTAAAACAATTTACCTTGTGTGTCAAGCTTATTGAGGTTGCTATTACCGCATCACACGCCGTATATAAGGTTATAACACAATATGTAATCAAGTTTTAGATACTAGTATATAAGCATGTATGACTATCTTGTGCAGTCATAACAAAATATCAATAAATATAATTATTAATGGTACATATAAAATGTATGTACCACACGATACAATGTCCATTTATATTGCATATTAAGACATTTGAGAATCTTTCAAAGTGTTATCTAACAACGTAAGGTCAGTACGATGAACATGAAGTTAAATGAAATGGCAACACAGTTTTGTCAAGAAGTTCCTGCTGATAACATATTGGCACTTACCTTCTTCACAGCGGCAACGACAACGATCTGTTACTTTACGTAACTGTCACAAAAGCGGCTAAACTGTTCAGTAAAATATGGAATATACATAGAACGACAAGGGAAGACAAGGGTACATCCTCCTCCACATTACAACAAGAACATCCAATATTAGTCAGTGATGGAGTTGCCGACATCGCGATCGATACCACCAACCCAGCAGACCGCTAGGTGGCAGTAGAGATGCTTATGTAAATAATGCCAAAATAAATACCCTGGGTAGAGAAGGCCTCGCATGAAGATTACAACCGATAATGTCTCAGGTATAAGCGTAATCTATAAATCTATACGTTTTCAGCGTATGGGAATCGTGAAATATAGATCGAAGACTCATTGTGAGAGTTACATTGAACTGTCGGTAATGCTGTTTTTTAATGAAGTGTTTGAAAAGGATGGTGCTTGATAATCGTTAAAGTGAATCTTGCCAACCACTTGTAGGAATCACCTGGAAGTTTTCACACATATTAATGTCACAGCAAATATTACGTATTTATACTCCTTAAACGATATGTATTTTAGGTGACAAATATTGTATTTGAGTCAAAGATGTGTTATTTGTATGGAGCTTGTTAAAACAGTCCCTTGTAGATGAACTAATTTGACTATTTATCGGACGTGATCCGACATTTATTGAATTGGTTCATTGCGTCAATACCGCCAGCCATTGCGCAAGGAAATATCTTATTGACAATAATATGGGGGTGGGGTTTCAAAACAGGAAGTGAACATGATTTTTATTATTATTCTTTAAAAAAACTTCAAAAATGCATTACTTTTGATTTCTAATATCCTTTACACAAAGGTAGATCCCACTGTGCTTATCGGACAAAATAATAATAATAAAATAATAAAGTCAAATAATAATAATTTCATTCTAAGCTCCTAGGGAATGAGCAGATTAAACTTCCTCATGAAACGCTAGAAGGGTAACAATCGCCATCTCTTCCTTCCGGGTACCCATTCACTGCTAACAGGGGCGTATATCGAAATGTGGTCTAAACAAACACCACCTGTGCATGTGTTTCAGAGTAAAACTGGACTAACTCTTAGAGGTTAAGCTTGCCAAACTATATATAATCCAGCGGTTCTTCGGGACCAAGGTAACTAATTACGCATAATTTGTGAAATAAATTACCAGACCGAAAATATTTTTCGAATCTACATGTTTTTCAAGTAAAAAAAAATAGAACTGTCTCATTTTTTCACAGCTCTTGTAACTCATCTTCACGTTGTGTGAATCAGACGTCTTGAATACTTCATGGCGTGTGTTGTCTCAACGCTCTTCAAGCAACTTATTCAAATCAATGAATTGACCCCGCCTGACCTCGACATGATGTTCAAGATCCTTATCTGTGGCGATGTGGGAAGTTGGAGCAGCTGACAAATACATCGCATCGACCGGGATATGGATAAGTGATATGATGAAACGTAGATTAATGTAAAGTAACGATTGTGTCAACGCAGACTGATTTCATTTGAAATTGACCCAGCCTGTTTTCAAAACCTCTATTTGCTTTTGGATGCGAATTATAAACAACACTAATTTACACAGAAATCTAAGACGTGAAACTGTTGGTTGGTTTGTTGTTTAACGCCGCACCCAGCAATATTCCAGCTATATGGCAGCAGTCTGTAAATAATCGAGGGAAGACAAGGCACAGTGATCAACAGCATGAACATCGATCTACACAATTGGGATACGACGACATGTGTCAAACAAGTCAACGAGCCTGACCACCCGATCCCGTTTGTCGCCTCTTACGATAAGCATGGGTTACTGAAGATCAATTCTAACCCGGATATTCACGGGTCAAAGTGAAACTGTACATGTAAAGCTCACATATGCTGGTTAGGGTCCAAGGGGAGCAGTCGTCTTTGGCACACCTAGATACGTCTTTCTCTGTATCAGATGGGTAGCCTAAAGGTTAAAGCGTCCGCTCGTCACGCTGAAGACCCGGGTTCGATTCCCAAAATGGGTACAATGTGTGGAGCCAACTTCGGGTGTCCCCCGTCGTGATATTGTTCGAATATTGCTAAAAGGGGCGTAAAACCACACTCACTCTCTCAGTATCAGAATAATATGGTTCGAATCCTATACCCCAACTATAGTGTGTTTGAAGTGGACACGGGGGCGGTGGGGTAGCCTTATGGTTAAAGCGTTGGCTCGTCACGCCGAAGACCCGGGTTCGAATCCCCACATGGGTACAATGTGTGAAGCCCATTTCTGGTGTCCCCCGCCGTGATGTTGCTGGAATATTGCTAAAAGCGGCGTAAAACCAAACTCAGTCAGTCAGTCAGTCAGTCAGTTGAAGTGGACACGCTCTGTCATTTCGGGCTTTCTTCCAAGCTAGCTAGGTGAGGGTAGCCAGGTGGTTGAAGCGTTAGCTAATCACGCCGTTCGATTCCCCACATGGGTACAAAGATTGTGTGAAGCCCGTTTCTGGTGTCCTCCACCGTGATATTTCTGGGATATTGGTAAAAGTGGTGTTAAGCTCAAAATACTCCCTGCTCACTCTAACCCGGAATCCTGGTAGCATAATGGTTAAAGCGTCCGCCCGTTCCGCTGAAGATCCGTGTTCGATTCCTAACATGGGTACAATGTGTGGAGTCCATTTCTGGTGTCCCCGCCGTGATATTGCTGGAATATTGCTGACAGCGGCGTAAAACCCAAGTCACTTCTTGTTGGACAAATCCCAAGCGTCAAAGGGATGACCTTCTACTACTACTTCTGCGGTATAATCACGACAGTGAAAGTGTAGTCAGCTGGTATCGCGATGGTGTGTTTGCCAACAACCATTGGATCGTCAGTGTCTTCCATCGGCCAAACTCAACCATTTCCGTAGCAGCGAAGCATATTTCTATTTCAAGCGGAAATTAGCGATCGTGTTCAGATTGGTATCTGTAATTCGTTAGCCAAGATTCGGTAAATTGTTCATGAATGTGAAAAATTATAAAATAATTTTCTCTAGGTTTTTTTTTCTGATAATAAATGATCAACCTTTTGCTAAACGGATAGCCAATGTCTCTTAAGGTGGAAAGTGAATTATGAAACGTAGACCTTCTTCAGATTTGTATCGCGCTGAGCAAATGCGGTGTATGGATTATACACTGATGCTTTAAGTACGTTCGCACCCTTTTACGAGAGCTTCATCAGTTCTCGTGTACAGAGCAGCACCTGGATCAGTTAAGGCCAACGCTTAACCTGAAAATGTTCAGGTGATGTGAAATTGAGTTTAACGTCGCACTTAAGAATACTTCACTCATATGACGACGTGCATGCGTGTGTATGTGTGGCTGCTTGTAATAGCCCAGACTCAAGCTGGTTTTATAGTGCTAGCTCACTGAGATACCATGCCGCAGTGAAGCATGAATACCCCACTCAGACACACATTATACTGACTCCGAGCAGACCAGTCCTTGTTGTACCCATTAATGCCGAGCGCCAGGCAGGGACCAACAAGTACCATATTTTAACGTCTTTTGGTATGACGCGGCCGGGGATCGAACCCGCGACCTTCCGTTCTCCGGGAGGACGCTCTAACCACTACACCACGGAGGCAGTCTGAAAATATTCAAGTTTGATAGAAACCAATAACACGATTTAAATTGAAAAAGAGCCATGGTGAGCTCAGAGGTTCAGACCTGAGGAAATCCAGACTTCTGGGATCTGGTTGAAGGCATGAGGTGACATGGATTGCTGGCGGATCAGATTTTTCATATTCCGCCATGGCGTAGCTTAAATATCTTCGCCTCTAACGAAATGTTCACGTATTTCATCGAAAGATATTCAAACAGGAAAAGTCACTGGTTATGTTCATCTTGTAAAACCCCCGCTTTTATAAGTTATCACTAGCGATGCAGCAGCATTGCCCCAGGTGGGGTTCACCTCGTTAGGTGTCGGGAATGTGCACTTTCAGGCGAAGGAGATATGTGTTGCGGCATGATAATGTTCAATAGCTCACTTCCTGTGAATACCAAAGGGGTTTGTGTCGCAAAAGACTGGCATCAAGGTATATATTGTCACTGACGGGGAAAACCTGGAAATACTGTTTGTTTGCTGGTTAACGCAGCACTCAATATATGACGGCGGTCAATAAATAAGCTAGTCTGGACCAGACAATCCAGTGATTGACATCATGAACATCGTTCTACGCAACTGGGATACAATGACTTGTGTCAACCAAGTCAATAAGCCTGGCCACCCAAACCGTCTCATCTTACAACAGGCAAATACTGGAACATTCTGGGAAGTATATAACGGCAAGACATGTAGTCTTGTCTCATTACCACAAAAGGCGACTATGCTTGTCGTAAGAGGCGACTAACGGGATCGAGTGGTCAGGCTCGCTGACTTGGTTGACACATGTCATCGGTTCCCAATTGCGCAGATCGATGCTCATGCTGTTGATAACTGGATTGTCTGGTCCAGACTCGATTATTTACAGACCGCCCCCATATAGCTGGAATATTGCTGAGTGCGGCGTAATACTTAACTCACTCACTCACAGTCCCTGAACCCCATTCTTTTCAAGTACTGCTCCAGCCCTCCCTGCAATGATAAAAGTCCTAAATGAAGCAAGTCTAGATTCCCTCAGTTTCTGAATTTCCCATTTGACAGAGGCTCCTTTTTTAATCTTAATGGGTTTATTTGTTACTATCAAAATTATATACGCGTATATATTCAGAGACTAAGCGTTAGTCTGGACAACATGCTGTAGATGGTTATCTGGCAGTTAATGATTCAAGCTGTTATGTACTTGTGGCAATGAAGCATTGTGTCCAGTCAATCCCAACCTGGGTCTCCATTTAGGTGCATATGGTCTTGAAAATTCGCAGTCAGGGACATTCATCTGTTACGACACCATATAATAACTTTGGTTTGAATTCCAGGTTTTTTCCAATTAAAATTCTTGGTTTATCATCAACAGACCCCTGTTCTTGATTTCACCAAACTGGTGAACTGGCAATGATTGTTGCACTTCGGGCTTCCTTCATAGTACAAGCTGAAGCCTCTGATACAATACAAATATAGTCTGTCTGCCTCACCCCAATGAATATATTGATAGGAGTCCTAATCAAGTCGAGAATGAATTGACTAGTCTAGATAGCTCAGCTCTAGTACTTCCGATTGTTCTTTGCTCCATGGGGCGGTGGGGTAGTCTAGTGGTTAAAGCGTTAGCTTGTCACTCCAAAGACCCGGGTTTGATTCCCCACATGGGCATAATGTGTGAAACCCATTTCTGGTGTTCCCCCGCCGTGATATTGCTGGAATATTGCTAAAAGCGGCATAAAACTAAACTCAGTCAGTCAGTCAGTCTTTGCTCCATTTGTGTTTTTAGTAGATAAATGTTTTTTTCATATTAAAATAGCTTATTTCAGTATCTAAAGGCCAGTCTAAGAGAAATTCTGTTCCATTCAGTGTTTTAACCAAACTCACTTTGATCCTTGATGTGTCAACACCATACCCTCAACTAAGTAACAATGGAGACTAGGAAGAAACAAGTCGGTATGTATTGTTGTAAACAATTTTATTGTCAAAAAATATATTATCCGAGTCTTCTGTTTTCTCCCATTGTAAAACCAGTTGATACAACATGGACTATGAATGGATGAGTGACTGATGACATGGAACAACCATCTACTGGTATGAACAGTCACGTTGATATGCACAGACCTTCATATGGCAAGTCATACAAAGTCCTGTGACAAGGGTACCGATATTACTCCTTTAATGTTAAAGTCCTGTGACAAGGGTACCGATATTACTCCTTTAATGTTAAAGTCCTGTGACAAGGCCACCGATATTACTCCTTTAATGTTAAAGTCCTGTAATCTGTTAATGTTAATTTGTAATTATTACAAAAATCACATAAGTATAAACATGTTCTTAGATCATTTTCCATTATTAAGAAAAGATGAAAGAGGACTGAGACTAGCTGATCCCAGAAGGCTGCGAGATAATACCAGAATTATCAGCCAGAAACCATGATGACAATTGAGCAAACATTGTCCTGCATTCAAAGATTACATGAGTTGTAAGGTCCATTGGAATAATCAGACAAAGGTTACCACACCTGTTCTGGGGAAGGTCACGTACACAACCAGTACTGTCACAATAACCAGTAGAATATCAGTACTATGACCGTGGACAGTACAGTATCAGTAACCGGTACACCACCAGTTCTGTCACAACAATCAGTACACTACCAGTACTATGACAGTAACCTCCAGTACTATGACAGTAACCAGTTCAGCATCAGTAGTGTATCAGTATCCTGTACACCTCGAGTACTATGACAGTAACTGGTACACCTCCAGTACTATGACAGTAACCAGTTCAGCATCAATAGTGTATCAGCATCCTGTACACCTCGAGTACTATGACAGTAACTGGTACACCTCCAGTACTATGACACTCGAGTACTATGACAGTAACTGGTACACCTCCAGTACTATGACAGTAACCAGTTCAGCATCAGTAGTGTATCAGTATCCTGTACACCTCCAGTACTATGACAGTAACTGGTACACCTCCAGTACTATGACAGTAACCAGTTCAGCATCAATAGTGTATCAGTATCCTGTACACCTCGAGTACTATGATAGTAACTGGTACACCTCCAGTACTATGACAGTAACTGGTACACCTCCAGTACTATGACAGTAACCAGTTCAGCATCAGTAGTGTATCAGTATCCTGTACACCTCCAGTACTATGACAGTAACTGGTACACCTCCAGTACTATGACAGTAACCAGTTCAGCATCAATAGTGTATCAGTATCCTGTACACCTCCAGTACTATGACAGTAACTGGTACACCTCCAGTACTATGACAGTAACCAGTTCAGCATCAGTAGTGTATCAGTATCCTGTACACCTCCAGTACTATGACAGTAACTGGTACACCTCCAGTACTATGACAGTAACCAGTTCAGCATCAGTAGTGTATCAGTACCCTGTACACCTCCAGTACTATGACAGTAACTGGTACACCTCCAGTACTATGACAGTAACCAGTTCAGCATCAGTAGTGTATCAGTATCCTGTACACCTCCAGTACTATGACAGTAACTGGTACACCTCCAGTACTATGACAGTAACCAGTTCAGCATCAGTAGTGTATCAGTATCCTGTACACCTCCAGTACTATGACAGTAACTGGTACACCTCCAGTACTATGACAGTAACCAGTTCAGCATCAGTAGTGTATCAGTATCCTGGACACCTCCAGTACTATGACAGTAACTGGTACACCTCCAGTACTATGACAGTAACCAGTTCAGCATCAGTAGTGTATCAGTACCCTGTACACCTCCAGTACTATGACAGTAACTGGTACACCTCCAGTATTATGACAGTAACCAGTTCAGCATCAGTAGTGTATCGGTATCCTGTACACCTCCAGTACTATGACAGTAACTGGTACACCTCCAGTACTATGACAGTAACCAGTTCAGCATCAGTAGTGTATCAGTATCCTGTACACCTCCAGTACTATGACAGTAACTGGTACACCTCCAGTACTATGACAGTAACCAGTTCAGCATCAGTAGTGTATCAGTATCCTGTACACCTCCAGTACTATGACAGTAACCAGTTCAGCATCAGTAGTGTATCAGTATCCTGTACACCTCCAGTACTATGACAGTAACTGGTACACCTCCAGTACTATGACAGTAACCAGTTCAGCATCAGTAGTGTATCAGTATCCTGTACACCTCCAGTACTATGACAGTAACTGGTACACCTCCAGTACTATGACAGTAACCAGTTCAGCATCAGTAGTGTATCAGTATCCTGTGCACCTCGAGTACTATGACAGTAACTGGTACACCTCCAGTACTATGACAGTAACCAGTTCAGCATCAGTACTGTGGCAGTAATGTACACCTCCAGTACTATGACAGTAACTGGTACACCTCCAGTACTATGACAGTAACTGGTACACCTCCAGTACTATGACAGTAACTGGTATATACACTCCTTGTTTCGTGAGGAGAAACTGAGATCGAACATGTCAAATCACAAGTTCTGTCATGAGTTTTTGGTTAAACAAGAATTAACAAATCCAAAGCACAGCGTAACAGATCAATATCCCAAATGTACAGGAGTCTACGGATATTTTGTTCATATTACACATCCAACATTTGTCATAACCCTTTGAATCCTAATGTAAATGTACATGGAAAACAAGAGATATTGTTCCGAGAATGGTGGATACAAAGCTGTTTATACTGTTTGCTGTACTTTGCATTTCAAACGCAACTTGAGAGATTTTACTGACATTAAAAATAATTTACAGTGAATACTTAAAATAACTAGTTGTTTCAGTTGTCAAAATCCACAAAATTCTCCTGTTTTCATTATGGGACTTTTACTTTGTTATTGTACATAAAATGGTAACAAAGTGTAAATGAGAAAATAACACAGTACTCACATTGCACACAAGCCATAAGCTACGCAAGGAGCTAACATATGTCATCTATAAGTCACAATTAATTCTTACCATCATATTACCATTACAAACAAACTAGCGACCAATGTTTGTTTGAAGGAATGGGCTCGACCAATCACACTGTATAACAGAATCAAAATGTTTGATGTTGAATAAATAATTTAATAATTTGAAATGTTAAATATCAGCAATTAATACTGTTCGGCTGCGTAGATATTAAATAAATGGTCAAGTTGTATGTCACGTCACTTGTGAATATATGATGATAAGCATTTCTTGTGATTTACCGATGAAAAACAACATGATAAAAATATGTACAATATGGCCCCGATTCATTAAGGCTTAAAACTTTGTTCATGATATGGCTGAAAAGTCAAAGAGTGCTGATTATGCATACAAAAGTATCAAAATTAGATCGTGAATAAATAACACTGAGTGAAAACCTGCTAAAGCATTGTGACTAGAACATGCGGACGTAGAGTTGCAATGGCAAACAGAGATGGATCTGTATGTATCAGAGATGAATCATTGCAGAATTCCAGAGTTGCCATCCCAAATAAAGTGATCAGAGCTGAGAAACTGTCGCAACCTCTTACTTTCACATAGGTTGACGACAGTTGCAAAGCCAAGATTGTTTGGTAGAAGGAACACAACAACTTTCTAAATCTGCCAATCCTTGGAAGTTCCATCTGAATCACAGCATTCTTTCAAAAGGAAATGGCAAGAAAACTGATAACTCATATTTCTGAACAATAAGCTTGCAAAGACATGAGATTCTCATATTCCCATGAACAAGAGAACTATTTACAGCCATAAACAAGAGAACACAAATTCATGCAATTCAAATAAATAAATTATTTAAGAATATTTTCTTGATAAATATCAAATGTCACATTTACACCTGAGCAAAGTTCAAAGGCGATCTTAGCACAGAGACAAAAGCCATGGTGCAAAGTTCACTTTGTGAAACAAAACCCAGATAAATAATGACAACAAAGATGTCCATACTCTCTTGAATCCACAGGGAAGACTAAGAGAAAGTAACTCATAGCTAAGCATGTATTCAACTTTGTCAAGAAAACAATATTTACCACAAGTATACAAAGTGATGTATGTAATATAAGTGAAAACAAGTGCATGCCTGAAAACATCTGAAACTACTGGAACAAGTCCAACTTGTTATTTATTTAATTCAGAAAGGATTATCATTTCTGTGTCTGCAGCTGTGGGTGAAGGAGTGAGTGAGTGAGTTTAGTTTTATGCCGCTAATATTCCAGCAATATCACGGTGGGAACACCAGAAATGGGCTTCACACATTGTACCCATGTGGGGAATCAAACCCGGGTCTTCGGCGTGACAAGCAAACGCTTTAACAAGGCTACCCCACGTCCCTGTGGGTAAAGGAATCAAATGTACATTGGTTCAGCTGGAGATGTTTTTATTAGACAGTGAAATCAAGTAAAACCAGTCTGTAGAATTCCATGTCTGGATTAGTGACTGTCCAGTTTAACAAATAACGAGTACAGATTCATGTCTTATTGTACTAATGAAAGCATCCCCAGCATAAATCTTCAGATTAGCAGGGTCCATACTAACAAGGATTCTGTTTGTAGGACACTGCTTAATCTAGATGTATTCAATGGACTCAACACAGATGGAAATGAATACTTTTTTAGTGTCAAGCACACTGTGATAAACAAGCCCAAATCTAGGACAAAATGTTTGGGAAAATTTGGTAATGAATGTAGTACACAGTTGTTCATGAAATAAATATATCAACTGTCTTCACATTGAAGAAAAAGTATTTTAAAAAATCTAAAATATCATACACTATTTTATAATGTTTAACAAAGTTCTTCTAAAACTTACAAGACTAGAATCAACATGAAAGAAAAAAGCAGTACAATGATCATTGGTTCATTTATATATACATCTACCGGTTTAATACAAAATTGATAAAAAGCCCTCAGAGATCTCCAATATGAAAGTGTACTACCACCAATATGACAAGATGCCTCACTGGGTCAAAATATAACAGCCGGTCATTATTATATCCATGCACAAATACATGATAACTTTGATCACAAATCTGAACAGCATGTTCTCTTGTTCTGATTAAAAAAATAATAACATTTTTTAAAATCACATAATTCCTTAATTGATAATACCTGGTGCATGAATTAATTAAAGGTATTTAATCATCGTCTTTCTAAAAATTCTGTAGAACATATATTGGACTGTAACTGTCTTGATGTTCTCTACGCTGATGTGAGATACAACAAAGAGATCGATAAAGCCAACAATGTATTTGGAAGCCCTCATTTCATTCTTCATGGTTTAATGATCCAGTTCTGTCAGAAGTGTACACTGAAGTGTACCATCGTGTGATTAATATCTTTGGTGGCACTGCATAGTTCTTTATGCCTGTTTCGTTATTGATGGTAGTTTTGTATTAAAGGTTGATAATACTGATAAATATTTTACCCATGTTGACATGTTGTTTGAAAAAGTATGTGTTGAGATATTCTGGTAATAAAAGAATTAGTATACATTAGTGAAACCTATTTGAAAACATTTGGTCCAATAGTAGTAGTAGTAGTAGTAGTAGTAGTAGTAGTAGTAGTAGTAGTAGTAGTAGTAGTAGTAGTGGGTGGATATTGAGGTGACTGGGGCCTAGAAGGCCTACCCTGCCAGTCCAACAGTAGTAGTCATAGTAGTAGTAGTAGTAGCAGTAGTAGTTTGTGAGGATGACTTGGCCACAGGAACAGTTTGGTCCATATCATGAGTTATCTCCCTTACATTATACTCAGCGATTCATCAATGACTATGGAGGCAAGGATGCCTGTATTGACGAAGCTGTCTCAGGGATTACATTGTCATAATTATCAGAGCGATCTTGTCAATGTGTAATATCATTACTCCTAGAGTTAATAAAAATATAATATATTGTTTTTAAAATATAATACATTACTTTAACCTTGTGCTAATTAGGTTGTTAACTCTTGATGGACATAACAGTAAATTAATGAACAGGTGCTCCATGTGTGGTCTTCTGAATCAACAACTACAGTGAGAATTGTAGGTCAAATATTTAGCTCAAAATGTCATGATGAGAAGATGCACCACAATGCCTTAGGATCACAAAGCTATAGTGAGTGAGTGAGTGAGTTTGGTTTTACGACGCTTTTAGCAATATTCCAGCAATATCACGGCGGGGGACACCAGAAATGGGTTTCACATATTGTACCCATGTGGGGAATCGAACTCGGGTCTTCGGCGTGACGAGCGAACGCTTTAACCATTAGGCTACCCCACCGCCCCCACACAAAGCTATAGCTTCACACTACGTTTACACACATGTATATATCAAAGTTGTTTCATGAAAATATAATATTTAACAATTTGATGAAGGTGAGTAAAAGTGTAAAATCTTTATAACAGTATAGAAACAGGAACATTTCACTAAAGAGTGAATTATTTGTGCATACTCTGTTGTGTAATGAGCTGTTTATAAAGTCGTAACAACGTTGTGAAAAATATACTCTTTACACAAACATTTGATAACATCATCAATAGTTTTGTTGTTCATGTGAGAAACCCTTCCCAAATGGAATCATAGAAGTTACATCGGATTATAATACAGGGATACACATTACAATAGATAAATGTTGAATTCTTATAAACGATGTGTATAATACTATCACCACTATTTACTTACAAAATGTCTTGATCTAAGTTACATATTGCAGAGTATCAAATGTTTCTCTATTTCAACTGTACAACTATTTCAACTATTTTCCATTCAAATTGATGAAAAAATAAATTGTTGCCATTGTGGTCCCATAAATGTTATGCAAATTGCAACTTACATTACTGGTCTCTGATCTTGGTACAAAAACAATACATTGTGCAATAAGATTCAATGATTACTCAGTAATACTACACAAATATACAACTCTCCAAGTAATACTTACTGATTTATTGCTAGGTTTGTGTTAAATAAATGCAAATGTTTGCACTCATTAAATGATTTTTATCACTTGTATATCCTACACCATCCTCATCTTGTTAATTAGTAAGCTGAAATATCTTCGCTACCATCGGCCCAGCAATGGAATAACCAGGCCAAAGGTCATATACCACTGTCCAGACCAGGGGCTGTTGTACAGAGCGATCTTAGCGCTAAGGTGAAGGTAACTCCCATACCTTAACATAGACTTATGGTAGTGTTAGTGCTATGGTTGTTTGTACAACAGCACCCTGAAGATTACACAAGATATATCATGACGTTGTAGTACTGAAGTTTACATTCACAACCATATCCTTGGTTAATATAAGCACTGTCACACTGGTCTCCTGATATGTTCAACATTGTCTGATTATAACTCGGATGTATGGATCATGAAGCTTTGCATTTAGAAGAGAAACATGAGAAATCCACATTTTGATTGCTCAAGAAATTCGCGAAACAATCAAAATGAAACTTTTTGGTCACAATGAACATACAGTAGAAGATGGGCTTATACTAACAGTTACGCATACTAAACATATGTATAGAACAGTTGGGATGAACTATTTCAGAAGTCATGCAATGATTTCTCATAGTGAACAGCAAGTTAATTTATTGGCAAGTACAACTGATTATCCTATCATCGCTACAGTACATTATTTGTATTTGCAATTCCTTGAATTGAATAACAAATGCACTCATGAACAAGGGAGATAACTCTTCTGTGCAGATACAAACACCATCATCAAGCAAGTAATGGGCTTGCATCAGATACACTGAAACATCATGTTTATTGTAATAAGGATGTTTATCTAAAGAATTTTCGCCCTTGTTCATCACACCAACCTCCAAAAGCCATTAAAAGGTTGAAAAGTTATTAAGTGAAATGTTTTTCATAATAAACTATAAATGACATGACTAGGTATTGAAATCAAATGGCAGACAGGGTTTCACAAGTAACACTCTATGTCAAAACCAGTTCAATTTCACCAGTCCTTTGGAGTTATTGTTACCATGTTTTACTATACATCCTTTATTGTGAATCCACTACATTGTACTAACAAAGAACAGAGAAGTAGTTGTTCAACTCAAATGTGTCAAAGAGACAGAATAGTAGACTGTCAGAATTGAAACCTATGTACAAGATGTTAAGGTCGCACATGCAGTCTTCGATGATGATGAACGATGATTTCTTGATTTCTTGCAAGCGTGGGTTGGACGTATGAAATACTCTTGCTATCCCTCTTCACAGCTGATGCAAAATCTGAAAATATTCAATAATTTCAAAATTTACTAAAACATATGGGTTTTGATGTTTTAAGGACAGCAAATGGAAAGGTAAGAAAGATCCTGGACACTTTATGTGAGAAAGTCTTTATGAGATATTAACTGTCTTAGAAAGGTAAAAGGAAATATATGGTGTATGGGTGAAGAGATGATCACACCTACCTGTTTACTGTCACCAAGGGTGCTCCTGTACATGTTAGTCTACTTCATCCGAAAGGTTGTCTGCATTGTCCTGTAAAAAAAGAACTGGATCCTTGAAAATAATCATACATAGAGGACGCATACTGTCATGGCTCAATCTTCTACCCAGAGTTAGTGGGTAGGGGATAGTCGAGCCGGTACCTCTGTCACATGCAAGGAAGATGAGACAAATTATCAGTCTATTTAACAGAATGCAATTGGTTTAAATCTATTTCATATTTTAAAAGTCTACACATTTAGACAAATGTACATTATGAAATGGTTAACTTTCATTCAGAAAATATCATTAAACATGAAAAACTATCTCTGTTTACATTTTTATTCTTTGTTTAAAATTGTTGTACTGTTCCCATCGTGAAATGAAAGCCCTACAGCTAGTTAGTGGTGTGGTATCTTTGTGGAGTTAAAAATACATCATCATATATATACTCAACAAAAAAGGTTAAGGACTGCCCCAATTTTCAATATTAAAGTATTTAACAGTTCATATTATGATCGATATAACACTGAAATATTGAATATTGGGGTGGTCCTTCACATACACCTCGCTCGCTGCCATAATTTAGTAGCACATATTAAGAACTGTGCAAAACAATATGTACTTTGCACAGAAAGGCTTCCACTATTGAAGAAATCCAGATATGTCTTTTAAAACAGTTTAATGCAAGGCTTAACCCATTTGATATTTTCATTGATAAACATAGGCTTCATCTATGACCTCAGAGTCTCTTGGAACTCGGTGTCATGGCAGTAAAAGCCTCTGGTTGACTGGTGTTGAAAGAGTTAATGACAAGGATGTAAATGGCTTAACGTGGTCAGAAGTGAAGGATTGATTGACTATAAGTGGGTCATCCCGGTGTAATCTGACCATGCACACACCACCAGCTGACCCTATCCAAGCAGGCACACTGCCAGTAGACAGACAGCTATTATCAGATTATGTCATTATCAACTGTAGTGGGAGCACTAGTTCCTGTTCATCTATCCTGTTCACTGACTAGACGTCTACAAAGGCACACATGATCTTGTTCTCCTTATATCAACATTATGAAGCAAAAGTGAATCACTGAATAAATCATGCTCAATAATTGCACTGTCATTGTCCTCACTTTAATTTAGACTGTCATTGCAGATGTAACGTTGTTGCCCTTTGCTAAATTATGTCAAGAAGAAAGATGATTAATCGTGTCAACAGAATCATTATTGAAAATCTGATTACTGACTTCATCATGCTAATTTAATCTATAACATTCTTACTTTAAACATATTTTATTCAAAATGAAATGGATTGGGCACAAGTTATCCAACTTAGGAGCGCCCTTTCCCAGAAGTTACATATGTCATATTTACAATATAAAAACATTGACAACAGGGGTTTGTGGAAGGAATTTACAAGGTATTTAAAAGGAAGTGTATAGTATATACAAGAATAAACCTACAAAAATCTTCAGTGAGCTTAAATATATCTATGTACATGTTCAAATAATAATTCATTTTCATATAGTGATAGTGTAACATGACCAAATAACAATAAATCTAGATTAATGGGTATGCAATGTTTTAACGACAGTATTTACATTTGCAAACAAATCTTTACGTTGCGTTGTGTACAAAGAACATTCTAAAAGATAATGCCATGAATTTTCACAAGAACAACCACAAGTACAAGAAGCATAACATTCTTACATCTGATAACTTGTCAAACTGTTAACAGTGATTGATGCACCCCATCATGCTATTATTTACGGCTTGTTAGCAATTCTATGAATTCACTTGACATCTTATTTTCTCACCTCATCTATCACTGGAGGAAATATGATCTTGGTCATATAATGTGACTTGCTTGATTGCATGTCATTATTCCCTAGTTTCATGGATTGATGCTCATGATGTCAATCCTTGATTGTCTTGTCCACTTGATCATAACAGACCATCATGATAAAGATGGAATACTGCCTGTATCCTATAGCGCCATTATCATGGTAAGATGTACTTTGAAATGTTATGAACATCTGAATCTTATTAAAAATATTATTATTAATATTATCCTCACATAAATGATTGTGACAACCATCAAGATTAAGGGGTAGGTTTTTTCATGTAATTCCCCAATTCACTTAAGATTGCATAAAGGAATCTACAGTTTGATACAACCTAGATCAAAATTTTGATGCTGCAGTTTGGGAGGGTTAATTCTGGCAATATCTTTGCACAACTCAACACTAAAGTACTGTCGGAAATAGAAAAACTGCTTTTAGGCTGTTATTCTGTATCCCTAAAATTTACACAACTTCAAGTAGCATATGTTGAAATAACCCACATCGGCCTAACTGGGCGTTCAGTGGGATGTGTAATAGGATATCTAGAAATGCATGTTTACTCGTAAAATCGGGCAAAACTTAGAAAAAATACGAATAACTGCTGAAAACAATAGATCAGACTATAGATGGCAATAAGGTCGCTCAGCCAGGTATGAAATGGACCCGTCGCTGCCTGGCTGAAATGCAGGTGCTGCCCTACGAGGTACAAGGGGTCATCTCAAAGATATTTTATGCTTTTTTCATGTGTATTGAATATGTCTCATCTATTGATTATCATCTTACGTGTCTTTCATAATGTTTATATTGAGATATGTAAAACAATATGATCCCAATAGAAAAGCTTAAATCAACTATCGTATTAAATGTCTCAAAATACATAGGTGGCAAGACAGGACTGGATATTATTTGTTAATTGTTAAGACATGCCGTTTACTTCCCCCAGTTTAATTTCCCTAAAGGATTATCTTATCTTAGCTGATATCTCTAGTCCCCAGTACGACCCCAACCACCGTCTGTGACACTCGTCCTGGTTTTGCTTTTGAGACGACCCCTCCTACCTGTTTCTTTTTATGGTGATAGTGAGGCTTCATGGTAGCTACATCCTTAATAGTTTCAGTATTAAAGTTAGTATTTTTTACGTCAGCTATCATTTATAACGAAGCTAAGTGTAGTTTCAAAATAGGCATTTAAGAAGTGTCCTTTGAAATACAGTATCATCGCACACTAATTTGCATAAAGCCATGGTCTGTTCTAAATATGTCGCTTTGGACTTAGAAAAAAAACTGCATTTATCATTTCTGCACTAATCTCTCCTCAGTAAAGTCCAATTTTTTACGTTTCCTATCTCCCTACCACTGAGACTGTAGTTAGGCCGAACTTAGTTTAACATATATTTCACACTTTCACATATTAACTTCATAAATTGTAGATATAAATGTGAACAAAACAGTTTGGTTCTATTTCCGACAATACTTTAGTCAACACCTGTAATTAGCAGTGTTACCTGTAGCACAGAAGACAACCTGGCCAGCTGCGACTTGAGCAGATGGAGTTCATCTAGCAGCTGACAGTAGGCTGACATGTTCATCATCACCATCTCCTGGCCGTTCACCATGGAGACGGTTACATCCTGGGGCAGCGTCACGCCCGACAACACAAAGCTGTCCTCAGACTCACTCATGCTGTGCCTATAAAACACACAAACAAATCAATGACTGTTTCCTACAGAACAAGCATAACAGTTGAATGTGCCACAACCAACACTGTCCATTCCGGGACAAAAGAATCTGATTGACACAGGGTTTAATGGATTTTTCTTACCATTTTCATCTGCATTTACTTCTGTATATGATGAGTCAGATTGTTGAGTGAGTGAGTGAGTGAGTTTTAGTGAGTGAGTGAGTGAGTGAGTGAGTTAAAATTTATAGCCACGTCAGCAATATTGTGACTAGAACAAATTATACATTCATGATATATAAAGTAAGATCACTATCACATGTCGATGAAGGACAGTGTACTTCCTAAGGACGGGACAGCCGTAATAATTCGGTGCGCCTTGTTGTGCGTAGCAAGAGTTGTATGATCCCCAGGGAGTTGAAATTGATAATAAGATATGCCGTTGAGATTGACATCCAATGATGGAGGGAAAGATACCAGCGCCTTGAGCATGCACTAGTGCATGGATATGTGCGCTATATAAATATCCAATAATAATAATAATAATAATAATAATAATGAGTGGAGGCTCTTCATGATAGAATTTTATTGTGTACTTTTGCACATATTTATTTATCAGATGATCCTCTGGTGATGCATGTGAAGACTCATGATGAAAGTAAGGAATTCCAAAGCTATTTTAAGCGTGCCAAGGTTGTTGGACAGAATCTGAAATTTGAGGTTGAGTTTGCTGATGGCGATGTACTGCTGGACGGTACAGCGATGGGAGTAAACCAGGTGAAGTCCTTTACCCAAGTCTGCCCAGAGTCAGGTCTTTGTGGAGAAGCTTTCTGAGAAGCCATTGCATCGTGTGTACATGCAGTGTGTGTTGAACAGAATAGCAATCAACTGACTCCTTTCGCCTGGATGAAGTCGGCTGGTCTTAAATGTGAAACTGAGGGCTTCCTTTTGCTGCTCAGGACCAGTCACTTCCCACTCGTAATCGCTTTAAATGTGATTCTTAAGGAGAATATTAATATGAAATGTCGACTTTGCAATGAATTCACAGAGACTGTCCAACACCTTGTCAGTGGATGCCCTTCCTTGGCAACAAACAGCATATCTTAAGCGACATGATGGCATGGCTCTCGCTGCTTTTACTACCGTCTCCGACATGCCTGTGGCTTTGACTCGAGGTCCATCCATGGTACGACCCTGAAAATGTCCAGGCGTCATGGAAAATGATGCTTTCAAACTTCTGTGGAATAGGCCCATATACAGCCTGCGGAGAATTCCAGCCAACAAACCTGATCTTGTCCTTTTTGATAAAGCCAATGAATTTATATATATCATAGAATTTTCTGTCCCTTTTGACAGGAATGTGATTGACAAGATTAAGGAAAAGCATGATAAATATCGCGGACCTGCAGCTTTGAAATGTCTCGCTTTGCATCCCAAGTACACTGTCGTCAGGCTCCCCATTGTTCTCGGTGCCCTTGGTTTGGTACCTCCTGATCTCTTAGGCAGATGAGGAGAGTGCCGGGTTCACCGGAGAGCACAGCTCTTCTTGACACTCTGGGTAATGCAGAAGGCTGCAGTGTTGGGGAGCCTTCATATTCTCCGGAAAGTTCTTGGTGGGTTCGACTAGGCAGCGTTTCCTGGGAGAAGTCCCATTCGCTGTCTGGGCTGCGTGTAGAGGGGGCAAGGGCCCTGAGCTGATGATGAGCCTTACCAGCCTGACTGTGCCAGGATCACACGAACCCTCTCTGCTGCATACTATCTTTAATCTGTAAAACATAATAATGACAGTAAAACAAATAGAATATCAGAGATATAGATGTAAACCTAGCACGTAAATCTGAAACTATTTTATTATTGGAGACAATAAAATACAGCCAATTATATAAAATCGCAAAAAAATGAAGAAAGATCACTATACTAGGGACCACTTACAGTGCTTTTGCTACCTGCATGGACCCCAGCTGGACTTACATTGTCCTTTCAGATGATGGCAAATATGACACATTGCGCCAAAGATAAAACAAACACACATTCTATGTTTAAAAAACGTGGTAGAAATAAATACACTTTTACTATGGGGTCATATGTACCCTCTCTGGGATGAGTCCAATTAGATGCAACATAATTATACATCCACTATACATACTTGTTCAAAATCAATCTATTGAATGTAACAGCATTTGAATATTTGATTCCACCATAACATGCTTCAATAAATAGAGTGGTCATCAAGTCAGTTTTGTATCAGATCTTGTTGTGTAAATGTTACATTCATGCATGATTCTGTAAATCATGCTCATGACTCACAAACATGTCGTCAGTCATGATGACATGATCCTTCAGACAAGTTATTCATTTACTGTGGCCTTGTTGAGATCAGTTCAACTTTACATGCATGATTACATGTGACCTGATATTGTGCATGCAATCAAGAGGTACATGTGATATGATTATCTCGACACTTGGTCAGATAACCAGGTTGTCAACAACAGAAACATAAGTTATCTCAATTTCAGCTTATCACTTCTCAGTTAATTCTAGTGGGACAACATGTCATACCAACACAGGGGTTAGTTCAGTACACAAAAACGGTGAAATAGTCAACTGACCATGTCAATGACCAGGGTCATGCAAACCTTATGTCCCACTCATTGGCTAATTTGTACAAAATTCCAATAAACACTTCAATTACGGTAAACACAAAAGCTTTGAATGTTATGATCATAATAATAACACAATAAATAAGACTCAATTTTTCCTTCAATATCAGTTAGTCTTTCATGGCAACACAAATCAAATGTCATTCTCTCAAATGAACTTCAACAGAATGAATAGCATAATGTTCATTGGCGGATCCAGAAGGGAGGTTCAGGGGGTTCGAAAACACACCACCCCCAACCCCGAAATTAACTTAAGACCACATTGAAGATTTTTTATGTTGGCAGAGCCAACCCTTTAAAAATTCCTGGATCCGCCCATGATATTCCCATCAAAAGTAGGTTACTGTGACATAAGTTTCTTAAACATTGTCATTACTTGTCCCTCTTGTGTATATAAAAACATGTGCATCTGTTTTCAGAACAGCAGCAGGCTAAAAAGCAGTTAAGTGCAATAGGCAAATACCACATCAGATAGACCGCCTCCGTGGTGTAGTGGTTGGAGCGTCCGCCCGTAGAGCGGAAGGTTGCGGGTTTGATCCCTGACCGCGTCATACCAAAAGACATTAAAATATGGTACTTTTTGGTCCCTGCCTGGGCTCAGCATTAATGTGTACAACAACGACTGGTCGGAGTCAGCATAATGTGTCTGAGTGGGGTATTCATGCTTCACTGTGGCATTGTATCTCAGTCAGGGCTAACACTATAAAACCAGCTTAAGTCTGGGCTAGTACAAGTAGCCGCACATACACATACACATACACACGCATGCACGTCGTCATATGAGCGAAATATTCTCAAGCACGACGTAAAACCCACTTTCACCTCACCACATCAGATACTTCTTTGTGAGGCATTTAGAGGATGGGTCGCTAAGGAAGAACTGACTGACTGAGTTTGGTTTTACGCCGCTTTTAGCAATATTCCAGCAACATCACAGCGGGGGACACCAGAAATGGGCTTTACACATTGTACCCATGTGGGGATTCGAACCCGGGTCTTCGGCATGACAAGCCAAAGCTTTAACCGCTAGGTTACCCCACCGCCCCACGCTAAGGAAGGACAACAATGTGTTGATGGACAACTTTATAACAAAGGGTTCAGACTTAAATAACATTGAATGGCCAAAAGCATTCTGACATATATACTTAGCCTTTACACACTTAAATCATCTCTATTTATAGGCAGCAACTTAACCATCAGGATTGTCCTCCCACCAGCAAATCCTGATCAACAATAAAGGACTCCCACATGTTTGAAGCACCCTGAAAATTCTGAAAAGCCACTGAAAACAGCTGAATGTTGGGCTGTCACATAACCGAATATCAATTTGCATTGATATATAGCTGGTGTGATGACTCACGCACAGTGTTATTATAATGTGTGACATATATGGCCAGTGTCTAGCATTACCTTCGTGCAAACACAAGCAACATGGTGCTGAGGGAAACAGCCGGCCCATGGAGTATATACCAAGCCTTACTGCTCTTTACCCATCAATCATTGCCTCATACAATGTTTCGGTGAACGGGTCGGGGCCTGTTTAGATGCCTTCATAAAGATTCTGATAATGGGAATTGATCGTGACACTTCAAACTGATCCATTTTGTCAGAAAGTCAATGTATCGACAAGAAAGCGGTGACATTAACATGCCCTTTCACGCATGGTACTGACTGAATGTCATCAGACATGATGGGTAGGGTTGTCTGTAACTGTATATTGTAGGTTGACAAATTTATACCATATTGATTGTAACCATTAACAACTTTACTTAATAAGTAAAATCAACACAAAATTGATCAAGTTTGTATATGGTAGAACACAGAGCTCCAGATAAGATTTAGCTCATGTGGGTACTGTACCCACTGTATTTTTTTGGAGTGGGTATTATAAATGTTGAATGGGTTTTTCATTTTCCGTTTCCCACTGCTTTCAAATATGTGCGTATTTCAGTCATTTTACTCACATAAGTATTATGTCATTGGGTAAGTTTACTAAGCAGGTATGTTCTGCCTCATGTCATACCTAATCAAAACCAACTTAAATATAATGGAAATGATTTCATTAAAAATCACTCATCCTATACTGACAGTACAACACTTGTCCTATAGTACTAACAGTACAACTTGATAGCAATCGATGTCTTTTTACTCACCTAAGTATTATGTCATTGAGTAAGTTTACTAAGCAGGTATGTTCTGCCTCATGTCATACCTAATCAAAACCAACTTAAATATAATGGAAATGATTTCATTAAAAATCACTCATCCTATACTGACAGTACAACACTTGTCCTATAGTACTAACAGTACAACTTGATAGCATCGATGTCTTTTCATTACATAAAGTGATT